GTATTTTCTATTTGTCAGGTGTAATTAATTAGTATTTTTCTGCTATGTTGTCTTAATTTTAGTTCATAAAGAACATTTTTCCACTTCGACTGAGTTATTTCATCAAAATTATGTAGTGTAAATTTAACTAATTGGGCACTTTCACAGTTCACTGAAAGGAAGGACATCACGCAACCATTGCCAGTTATTGTTCTCTTTCCTCTGTGGATAAGCTTGTAAACACAATCAAAATAGAATATATACAGTAAAACTTTTGGTCCTATCTTACAGAAAATGCACCATGGTCATCTTTTGCAAATGCGTTATATAATCTTTACATATATACATATGTATCTATATACATATATAAATATACACAAACGTATATATACATTAATGCTAGAGAATAATTAAGATTGTTATCTGTTTATACAATATATAAATGAATATTTGCATTCTAATTCATATACCACCATTCTAAATGGATTGCCCTGCTTATGCTTACAGGCTTGGTTTTTATTTAGATACAGTTCATTTGCTTGAAGTTACATGTACCCATTTATAGTCTGATATATCTATAGGATTATAACACGTGGATTGCATCAGGATTTCAGATGACCTCAAACTATTCTTTCAGAGGTCCTCAAACTATTCATTCACCAGCATCTTTTTATTATTTTTCTCTCAAAGGCCTACTGTGCTACGTTGTGAAGGTTGTCTATTGGCCCTAGTTTTTCACATATGATTATGTCACTCATACTCAACTATATAGTCATCCCTAATGGAGAGAAGTCATTTCTAACTCTGCCTGTCAGCCAACTCAAGTGTGTGACTTACATTTGCCAGGGATCATTTCATGAATGATAGATGGGTGTTTCAAGTTTTGTTTTGCTATTTATTATTGACATTGTTCTGAAAAAAAAAAAACAGATAATCTTCTCTGCCCCATGTTTCCTGGAAGAGGGTGAGAAATGTTGAAATACTTGAGGCCAAGCTGAGCTGCCTGTTCCTATGGGATGAAAGTCTTAATAGCCAGTGATTTTCTGCTCCACAAAGGGAATCCCAGCTAGCATCAATTTGAGGTTGAATGAAAGAGATACCCCACACTGCTTCATTAATATGGGGCCAGGAACAATACCTAGTCTGTTAAACTGCAGAATTTTCTGCACTCTCTAATCCTAAGGTTTATCTTATCTTTTAATAGTATTTGACATGGTTGGAAATTTGGAATTCTAGACTCTTCTGGTAGCCTAATACTCCATCCATTCTCTGAATGCACACATGCATACACACACACACACACACACAGGTATGTGTGTTTCCTTTTAAGATTCTTTTCTATATTATTGATATCTCTCTTATTTGTTTTTACTCAAGTGCGTGTTTTTATTATTTATTATATATATAACTTTATTATATATATTATTTATTATATATATTATTTTATTATGATATCTCGCTTATTTGTTTTTACTCACTGAAAAAGACTCTATGTATTCTCTTTAGTCTCATTATTTCAATTGTGTCCATTAAAAGCAATATTACATAAGAATATACAAAGGATTAATATAACAATAAATGTAAGTGGACAGAATCATCATAAAAAATAGAGATGACTAGATTTTACAAAAATATTTATTTTAAAATCTTTAGTACATTCTGAGTTCTTGTTAGTCTCATATGTCAATTATAGTAAAATTAAATTATAAAACATCAACATGGAAAATCAGTATGTTTATAAATACAAAAATACAGTCATAATGTTTTCAGTATAAAATTACAAATAGTCAAATGGAAACTTTCAAGTATCTTTTTGAGTTATATATCCTCTCAGATGCTATATAACATATATAAACGGGTTTTAGACCACTATAAAAAGCAATCAACATGCAATAGAAACAAGTAAGTAAAAGAAAGCAAAAAATAATGAAATATCAAAATATTTTAAAAGACAATTGAACTGTACTAATTTAAAAAATTATAGACATCTGCCAGTGGTGCTCTAAGTCATTCACATTAGTCATGTACCCAACCCTCAAAATTGTGTATGGTAGGGTTGAAAAAGAATTTCACAGTGAGATTGTTTGTGACAATGGAGGAAATATTTAAGGACCAGGAAAGATGTCTAGGTTATGACCTAATGTTTAAACATAGGGCTTTATCTGAGTAAATACGAATCTAAGTGATTTGTAGGTTGTAAGTCAATACTGCTAATGATATAGCTAAGAATGCAATTTGTACAAATATTTAAATTGTGACTACATTTATTTTACATCTGCAAGCTCATGCATGGGATTGATAAGTGCCAAATTCAGGATAAATTGTTCTTCCCAGGAACAGGGGACCATAACTAAGGATGAGTAAATCAAAGCAGGGAGCCTTTAGTAATCTTTCTAATGAGAGTTACAAGGTGATTGTCATAGTATTAATTATTTAATACATACTATTGTGGACATTGTCTTCCAAGGCTGCAAAGCTTTGAAAAGAAGCAAAGAGAACAGCTTTAGATCCAGCTGATCATAGAATTTTTTTTTTTTACTATTTCTTTGAGGCATTTATTTATTTCCTCTTTAAAGGCCTGTACCATCTTCATAAGATGAGATTTACGATCAGATTTTTGCGTGCTTTAGGTATGTTTCATATCCAAGGCTTGATGTAGTAGGGTAGGTGAACTCTGCTGGTGACATATTGACCTAGCTCTTTTGTGTTCTTATATTGACCTTTAACCATCTGGTTGTCCCTAATGCAGGCAGTACTTCAGGAATGTAGATACACTGTGAGACAGAAAACGGAGTTCAGGGATCAGAGTGCAGTTTTCAGCTGTTGGGTGTGCTTTTGGGCAACTTGGCAAGCTTGAGATTGTGTGAGGAGTCTACGGTGGTGGCAGGCAAGAATGCAGACAGAGTCATGGGCTGGGAATGAAGAGCAGGGAACAGGGTGTTTCTCACCACTGCTGGGCATGCCATAGGTGGTCCTGGCAGTTAGGGGATTGAGAGGTAGGGGTCTCGTCTGTTGCCTCTGGTTTTGGCAGGCCTCAGGAAATGCAAGCAGAGTTGTCAAGATATTCTACTTGTTGAATAGATTGGATGGGATCACTTATTATGCCATGATGTCTTGTTTTTAAGCCATCTTTTAACTTTGTGTTTGTAAGCTTTGAATACTTCCTTTTGGGTTGGTTCCTGTATGTGATCACCACATTGACAAGCATTCAAAACAAAAACCATAAAGACAAATAGCAGAATCATATGAAACCTACCACAATTTTCCAAAAGTAGAAAACTTTTCTGAAGTTTTCTGTAAGAGTTTAGAATGTCTTTCATTTCTTGTAAAAAATAGATGTCACAATTCAGGAATTTTAGATAATGTATTTGGAAAGAAATACTTGTGTGGGTGCTTATGATAAATCAAATGCTTATCTTTTAATATAGTTTTCCTATTTTCATTTAAATGATATACTCCATTAAAAAGAGACTTTCTAGGCCATATAGAGTTATGGTAAGTTTGCATTATGCAGTGTTCACCTGAATATGAGTTACCATACTTCTTTTGTTGGTATTCTGATGTATGGTACTTATCATCCTCAACCAGACCCTTGAATGAATCATTAGGTAACTTTCAGTTGGTTTACACTAGTTTAAGCAATATATTTTTATAATAAGATCCTATTAATTATCCTTTACTATAATGAGACCTTTAAGTAAAGCCATTACTTCTTAATGCTAATTTTCAAGCATATGATGATTTTATTTTATACATAATAGATTGTTTCTGAGTTTACAATTTGAGGAGTATAATTGAACATTTCTATTACTTATGTGTATTTGCACAAACATATAGTGATAAAACCTAGAAACCATCAGATTATCAGTAATAATATTCACCAGTGTGTGTATTTCCTCTTAAATGTGTGTGTATGAGACAAAGAGTGACAGAAAAAAGAGAGACAGACAGAAAAAGATGAGACAAAAAGGAGAGAGAGAGAAAGAGAGAGAGAGAGAGAGAGGGGAGGGGG